GAGAGAGAGAGAGAGAGAGAGAGAGAGAGAGAGAGAGAGAGAAGCCCAAGTGCTGTTTCTGGACTGTGGATATGATGTGATGGGCTGTCTTTGGGCCTCTCCTCCAGGATTTCTCCACCATGGTAGCCTATACTCTCAGATTGTGAACTAATATAGATGTTTTCTCCTGAAAAAAAAAATTAAAAGGTATAGTATGGCAAAAAGCAAAGAGGTTTTCTAAATAGTTGCTACAACTTGCTGCCATCACTGTTGCAGATACCTGCTGACTCCTCACGTGAGCCTGGATGTGATCATAAGAGTTTCAAGCCATTTCTGTCCATTCTTATGTTCCTATCTGTAACTATGAGTGAAGAGGCTCACACAGGCAGAGCTCACTATAACAGGCCCACACAGACATCTCACTAGAAGAGGCTCACACAGACATCTCACTAGAAGAGGCTTACACAGACATCTCACTATAACAGGCTCACACAGACATCTCACTAGAGGAGGCTCACACAGACATCTCATTAGAAGAGGCTCACACAGACATCTCATTAGAAGAGGCTCACACAGACATCTCATGAGAGGAGGCTCACACAGACATTTCACTAGAGGAGGTTTACACAGACATCTCACTAGAGGAGGCTCACACAGACATCTCACTAGAAGAGGCTCACACAGACATCTCACCAGAGGAGGCTCACACAGACATCTCATTAGAAGCTTAAGCACTTTGGAGTCATATTGTTGTCAGGAAGGTACTTTTAGAAAAGCTTAGGAAATCAGAAACAGTGGACTGGGAAGCCAGCTCAGCAAACAAGCGCTCACTGCCAATCTGACATGGAGTTTGACCCCTGGAACCCATGTGGTGAAGGAGAGAATTGGCTCCTGCAAGTTGTCCTCTGACCTCCACGTGTGTGCTGTGTCATCATGTTTCCACCACCCCCCAACAAAAAAGAAACGTAAAAAATATTTTTTTTAAAGAAAAGAGAATCTCAAACAAAACATCATCTTCTTCAGCATACCCAGGAAGTCCACTCCTCTTCACCTCCACATCTTCAAAGGTCTCCGATTCTTCTCTGCATGGTAAAAGCCAAACAAATCCTTATGGAGATGCTGACGGTGCAAGCAGAAGTGCAGCGTTGAGTAATGTCAGAGTCGTACCTTAATTCCATGCAAAAATCATTATCTTCAACATTTTTTAGAAAAATTAATTTATTTACTTTCTTAAAAACTGTTTAAAACCATGAAATAGAAAAGCATGTACAATTTCTACTCTGGTTTATTCTGGTGTCATTCAGAAAGTCACAAAGGGGATTGACCAGATGGTTCAGTGGGTAAAAGCACCTGTCGCCAGGCATGATGACCTGAGTTGTGATGGAAGGAAAGAACCAACTCCCTAAAGTTGTCCTCTGACCTCCACACATGTTGTGACATATAGTGTACACACACACACACACACACACACACACACACACACACAGAAAGAGAGAGAGAGAGAGAGAGAGAGAGAGAGAGAGAGAGAATACATTTTTTTATTTAAAGAAAAGCATGTGTGACAGAACACAATTTGATCATTTGATTACTTTTGTTGTGGCTATGGAAAATATTTTTGCAAATTTCAAAAACAACCCCCAGGGGGCAGTACTCCTCCTAATGAGAATCAGGATAGCATCCATTTCAGACACTGCAGATAACCCACCCTTTCCAGCAGCTGCATGTGGGTTTTTAAGAATGAAGAAGACACCGATTTCCAGCACGAATGGTCTCTTCATTGAGAAAACAAGTCACTTTCCTAGGATTTCATCTGTGACCTCTAATATTGTTCATGGGCTGAAAGGTCTGCTCAAAACCAGCTTGCAGGGTCCTGTAATGACAGGCATCACTTTCCCCATCCCAGGGGGTGACTTGTGGAGCTGTCAGTGTTCCTTGGGTCCTAACTGTTTCCTCTATGTCACGGGGTTTTCCACTTGCCCTTCCAATGAAGCTCAGAAGGGGATTACCACAGAAGAATTTTCAACTGGTTTATTGCTTGCCTCAGTCCCATCTTATGGGATATCTCTGATTGACAGTACACACTGGCCAAAATAGGGTGTCAGATGACCTGGGACTAGAGTTTCAGACCATTGTGAGCCCCAAGTGGGTACTAGGAATTGATCCTGGGTCCTCTGGAAGAGCAACAAGTGGTCTTCACCACGGAGCCATCTCTCCAACCCATATCATGTAGTTTTGACCCTCCATATTTCCCTGACAAAATTATCTAAACATGGAGAGAAAGTTCTTTTGTACATTTCAAGATGAAAAGTGAGATTCCAGAGAAATCACTGTCACAGCATCATAACCTTCAAAGTCGATAAACTTTCTTTTCTGTGCGTGGGTATCACCAGGAGTGCTGCCTCCAACTTGCTCTTGTCTGAAAGCAAGATGAGCCGTATATAACACCACACCTCTCTTTATTGGCAAGTAACTAAGTAATCCAACTTGTCATCTATTTGTGAGGATATCTGGCTTTCAGTAGCCATGTTACTGTGCCTTGTAAAGTCCTTCAGGATTTTTTCTTTCTTTCTTTCTTTCTTTCTTTCTTTCTTTCTTTCTTTTTTAGTACAATGCTTTGCTGGTCAATAGACATTATCAAATGGAAATGGTACTTTGGATCTCAAAGTTATATAATGATCTAATTGATATTTAACCAAAGCAAGCTGTATGTTTCAGGAGAATGAAAGAACATTTCACTTATAACTGAATTGAAGACTTTGGGGGGGGGGATTGTGACACTATTATTCAAGCCATTCTGTGTTTCTTGATCCCATTCATCTTAACATTTGCAGACATTGTATTGATTCTACTTTGCAGAAAATACATCTTTGACATTACAGATGTTCCCAGAGTTTGTTCAAATCAGAAAGTTACCATTAAACTTCAGAGCAAAATGGATTAGACTAGCCTGCAGTTCACTTTTCTGTGAGTGAGGCCTCTGTTGTCTGACACCATGTTGGGTAAAATCAACTTATGTATAAATCAATCAAACTGTCAATGAGTCCAATATAATAGCTTTTTTTCACCAAGATGACATATAAACGCATATAAAGTCTTTTTGTTTTTGTTTTGCAAAAATTTACCCAACATTTCTGAC